GCCATTTCTATTGGTAAAATATAATGCCTGTAGTTCGTACAATATCCATTAGAGAAAGATTGGGAATGATAAAAAAGATGATTCTATGATCGAACCGATTTCAATCGAATAAATTTCTTTTCCTTGGTCTTATTGATAGCAACACTATCGTTCTTTTAGCTTGCCTTCCTTTTCATGTTTCTAATCCGTAAACCTAGCTTCTCTTCCTCACGTTGATGGGGTTATTTTCATCGCCGACACACAAAGAGAGTGAGCGTGGATTTTAGTAGGCCATTGGGAAGCGGATGCGCGGGGCGCGGCCTTTGCCGATATGCTAGCTCGCACATTTATGCTCGTTAAATCAGCCTGACTTATTTCCCGGACCACTTCCCATTTCACCCGTTTATGGGCTTGCATGTTAGTTGTGACAGAATAAGGTCCAACATTTGGATAATTCATGAAATATTATTCATCGTCTTTCAGCTTTAATATAAACGAAAGTACACTGATAAAGGTTTATATTATCTTGTACATATATTAATATTCATTTCTGATATATTTAAATTGTATTTAAGATAATTGTTAAAGCTATTATTGTATATATATAATACAAGTTCATTTATACTTTTCATTTAAGGGCAAGAATGTTTGTTATGAATATAAAAGTGTAAAAAAATTATAAAATGGAAATTTTCTTGTTTCTTTGTTTCCAAGGAACAAGTTGGTAAGTTTTAATAGGGACACTTTGTTAAAATTTATGAGTGCAATCTAATGCTATCAAGGATGAATTGTCTTGTTTTGAGATCATTGAACTTTTAGTTTTGTTCAAAAGTTAGAAGTTTAGATGGAAAAGAATCGTCTTTTGGCGAGGAACGGACGAAGGTGACAATGGGAAAGAAATGTCCAAATAAATGATAGAATGTCGATTCTAGCAACGGATTACCAATGGATGAATTCGACAAATTTCTTGTCAATGTCATGCGCAGCAAAATTTATCTCTATCGAGCAATTCATCTTCTGTTCATAAGTACGACTCTACATTAGTCATCTATACTATTTATGCAATTCACAGTGTTGCACTTTGATATAAGTTTATTTCGAGCACGTTACATAAGCGTGTTTTTTTAGTAAACTTGATTAAACGTATTTGATTTTTTATTATATTTTCTTCTTATGTTCAAGGAAAGACATTGTTCTATTGATGCGATTCGAAGTGAAAGCTCCTTCGACGAAGGTTGATTGTGACCGTGAATACTTCGTGTCTGGAATTATCAAAGAGATGAGTAAAGAGGAAATCAGCAATGAATAAAAGAAATTAACGAATTACGAATTGTTATATTGTGACAATATAATTTAATGGAAAATCAAAACGAATTTGGCCAGATAACGTCAATGAAAATGAAGGAAAAAAATGGGCCATGACATGAATTTTCAGTAACGAATGCAACTGATGTTTCACAGAGGATGTGAAACTACGTCGACATAAAAGCACGACAAGGCCGTTGATTTTCAAGCCTACGAACATTCGCTGTGATGTAGGTATGTATATTTATTCGTGTCAATTTGCAATAGCTTTACAATTATACAATAATCAAGTTTATTAATCAGTTTCACCATCAATATCAATTTTGATTTTCCAGAAAATTTTTATTACTTGCAAAAAAAAAAAAATTAATAAGATAATATATTAGATTTTAATCTCTCTTGTTTGAAAGATTAATTATCAATTTCAAAAATAAATAAATTATTTAAAATGTTATTGTAAGCAAATGATCAACCAGCAGTATCAATTAAATTATTAATTCGATGATTTATATCATATTTACATAAATCAATACTTCATACGAAAATTCACTGATAATTGTTATAACTAGATGTTATATAATGATTGTTGTAGTGAAAGGTTCACGCGTCAAATTCACGAATACATCCTTTAAAATTTAGATGCTTGCAGAATTTACAAAAGACTTGTGGTTTTTATGTCGTGAAGGCTACCGAGATACAATATTTACTCTAAAAAGAAGACAGACGTTGGGAAATACGTTGGAAGGAAAATAACGATGATTTCTTAGCAAGTTTCTACTTCTTATTCGCATTCTTTAGGTATCTCGGTGAACAATTATTATTTCGCAATGTGTTAATCATTCGCTGAATCAGTAAAATGGAAAAATTTCAATCTAAAAAAAAATAAGGAGAACATTTAATCGAGTTTAAATTCATAATGCAATGTTTCATTCTACTTATTGAGAAAACCGTTAGGTAATAGATAAAATACAAACGTATCGGCATTGTTAACTAGCAAACAAATAGAAATTCGATCATAATATTCGAAGTGGGACCAATGTCAATTAAAGTAACATTCTTGCACGTCCGTTGAATACTTCTAAGCGCTAGAAATGGCTTAGTATCTGCTAGCCAACTGTGACTAAATCGTTTCAATAATATTAATAAGCAATCAATTAGCATAAATCTGTAATTCTAACCTTTTTGTTAGTCTAGTTCTTTGCATGTTAATGTAATATACTAACAATTGAAATACATTTGATTAGTTATGATTATTTTTATCTTTTTGGCCATCATTTCTATATTGTAATTTAACGTAAAGAAGATTACGATTAATTTAATTATAATTTGATTAAATTAATTTAATTAAATATAAATTTAATTTAATTAAATAATTTAATTAAAATTAGAATACTTAACGAAATGAAAATATCACTAACAAAAGATACTAACAGGTACATGGGACTACGTTAATTTGAGATGAAACATGAAATAAAAAAACAAATGTAATGACATAATACTTAGAAAAATATTTTTAATTTTAAATATTTAGAGGAAATATTTCAAAAAATTTTCAAAAATTCAATAAATGATTCACTAAAATGTTCATCAAATAATTACAGATAATTTTGGCAGCGATTGACAATGAAATAAATTGCAGATCACTAAGTATGATAGCATTGCGGAAACTACATAATATTTATTGTATAGTAGTTTATTAATAACTCATAAAAGATATTTGATTTACGATCTTCGAATCGATACAATAATACAATTCTATGATTGTGAAATATTTTTCATGGACAAGGATTGATTGATAGCATTCCTCTAATGATCACTTTGATGAATCGGAAAGAACGGAATATATGTATATACTATATGTACTATATTATATAATTGGAGAAACGTGGTGAGCATCTTAAAATTCTATAATGGATCAAAACAAATGAATAAGAATGATTCTATGGACGTCTGGAAGTATCTTTGATGATCACGATGTGAAAATGGTCAACACTATTATAGGTGTACTACCAATATACACGTTCTTCATTACTGTTATAACATTACGTTACATGTCACACGATCATGAGTCAACAATTATGCTCATCCGTTTACCAATCAATGTTCATCTCTTCTATGGATCATTATTACAGGTAGTTTTATTACATAGTTTTCAAGACTTATTTAATTATAAATCGTATATTGGCAATGACAAACAATTTTTGTCTTTTTATCTTTCTGCGAAAATTTTTATAAATATCTAGTTAACTACCAGAATATTATATTTCGTTTTTAAAAATATGACAACATCTGTTGGTTCTATTCGTAAAAAATTAATTGGTTAATTCGTAAATTCGGATGTAATACTTAAATGTCAATCATTAAAGGATCAAGCATTTTAAAGAATTACATCAAGAATTATACCAATATTTCAATATTTTTTACAATCATTGTAATTGCATTCATGTAATTATATGTATTCAAATTTATTTATTCAAGCAAACATAACGAAATCAGTTGGATAAAAAATAATAGGAAATCCTAAAATTAAATGAAAATAATCAATTTTTAATAGAATTCTTATAGATTTTTAAAAAAAAGAAAAATTTTTGTTAGAAATTTTAAATTGAAAAACAATTAAATGAGAATAAAATACAATAACATGAACAATAAAATAAAAAACAATTAGATGAGAACATTGTTTTTCACTGCAGCGTGGTTATAAGAAATAAGAAAATTGATCAGCAAATAATTGTTTGGAATGACGATATTCACGTAATATAAACATTATGATTGAAATTATTCCTGATTGACACTTTTTCTAAAGTAATAGATAATATGGTTTTTAAAATACGTTCATTGTAATTGAAGTGCAAATTTCTCCTATTACTAATCTCCACGCATAAACATTTCCTTATAATGAATGTTCTACGATAGCGTTGCCTTTCGATCAAGTTTCTTTATCAAGAAAGAAAACGAATTCAACGAAATTCTGAATAACGTAATTGTCCAAGGGAGAGGTACGAAGAAGCGACTGTTGAATCGATTTTTCGGGATCATCTTAGGCAATATAAAACGTAGCACAACAGTCTTTTCTAAGCTCACCCTTTTCAACGTTTCCCTTTCAAACGGATCCGGCCTTACAACACCGGTCTCAGTACCATTTCAGTCAACCGTCTTTCGTTTAACTTAACAATGAACATACGCGGAAAAAAAAAATAAAATTCTAAGAAAGATATTAATCTAATCACCAGCTAAAAATTGATTGAAAATCACCGCTAATTTAGTCATTTTTTTTACGATAAATAATACATAATGGAAATAATGAAATAAAAAAAACAAATTATGAACGTGATAATATTTTCAAGAGATTCATAAGAAGAAAAAAAAAGTTTAGCCATGGAATACTATTACAATACACTTTTAAACATACTTTTAAATTTCATAAATTTTTCAATATTAAAACGATAAATCAATAATTATCGTTTTTTTTTTTAACAAGAATATAATTCAACATCTATATTCCAGAATAAAAAAAAAAAAAATAAGCGTAAAAAAAAAATTTTATAAAATACAAGAAGTGAATACAAGAATAATTTATAACTAATCGTTTTGATTAATGAAAGTTAGTAAAATCAACTCAATTAAACGAAGTGAGTATCGTTCATCAACAATAATAAATGTAGTTTCAAATAACAATGTTAATTTATATTTCCATGATGTATTGCATGCATCATCGGTTAAATAATAGACCTACGTTTCGCTTGGAAATTAAATAGTGGGGATACCTTGTTCCTGTTGCACATACAATATCCAAATGCATCCACATACGATCACACGTATAGCGTGTTCACTTGCACACATAATCGTAGTGTGTTAATACACGTCGTCTGGTGGGGAGACGACGCCTCTCTAAGCGACGCTCCGCGTCTTCGTCAGTCAAACCGCGATCGTCTCCGTGTAATAGGCCTGTTGAGATCACCGCGAGGTAAATGGATGGTTAGTGAACAGTGTTGATCAGTTACTTGACCACAAAAACAGACCAGCCAACGCAGTTGGCACGTGCGAAATATTCGTTACGCCGGTCGACTCGAGAATAGACTTTCTTCCTCTCCCTGGCGACATTTACCTCCCTGGCTACGAACACTCTTATTCCGGATATCAGTTTTCAACTGGATCGTTGTTAAGTCTTCGTTTCTTCCTGCCACGTGATCAGGCTAAGAAAAGTGAGATATATCGTGATAAGGAAGCATATACAGTGGCTAAATACAGTGTAAAAAATGAAGATTGTTGTACTCTTACTCGCTCTTGTCTCAGTGGCAAAGTGTCACGAACCATTCCGGGTAATCTTTGAATGGAACACGATCGACGTAATGTGGCCATCGGAAGAGAATAAAGAATATGCAATCAGCCACGATGATTACATTCCAGCCAATAATTTCATAGCCGGTATTAAATTTTGGAAGGGTAAAATGTACTTGACAATACCAAGATGGAAGAATGGAGTACCTGTAACTCTCGGAGTCACTTCTGCTAAACGAATGAATATTACTGCTCCTAAACTGGAAGCTTTCCCCAGTTGGGAGATGCAGAAAATTGGAGATTGTAGTGCATTTCAGATGGTCCAAAGTATGGAGATCGACCCCATAGGACGTATGTGGGTACTCGATTCTGGCAAGATCTCATCTCTTCCTTTAGAAGTAAAGACCACTTGTCCACCGAAATTAGTAATCCTAGATCTCGAGAAAAATGGTGAGATTTTACGAACTTACGAATTTCCTACGAACGTAGCTCATCATGGTACAGCTTACTTAAATGATATTGTCTTGAATCACGAGGATGGTGGTATGGCATACATCACGGACAGTGATCGTAACGATCCTGGTATAATTGTTTATTCCTTGAGAAACAACACTTCGTGGAAAGTTAGACACGATTCTATGAAAGATCAACAAGAAGCAATTAAATTCATGATTTCCAAAACTCCCATTAATATAGTCGTACCTGTCGATGGAATTGCTTTGTCTCCTGCAAGTAGTAACGACAGACAAATATATTATTCGCCATTATCTTCCTTTCATCTTTATTCTATACCAACGTCAGTCCTGAAAAACAATGCAAGCAATGTGGACAGTTACGTTAAAGAACTAGGAAGAAAAAATTCTCAAACTGATGGAATGATGATGTCAGCCAAGGGAGTGTTATACTTTGGGCTGTTGGCTGATGATGCTATAGCTATGTGGGATACCAAACAGTCCACCTCGTTCACTACTGGCCAGAGAGTGATCTCGAGAGATCATGAAAGGTTGCAATGGCCAGATACGTTTGCGTTTGACGAGGATGGTAACTTTTATTGCGTTACCAATTCTTTGCAAAATATATTGGAGAATCGGGTCAACGTTAGCATACCAAATTATCGGGTAGTCAAATCGCAAACCGGAGTTAAAAGTTACCAATATTTGGAGGACGGAACCGCGCCGGAACAGCCGGAGATTCCCACTTCAGCTGCAAACAGGATTAGTCTCGCCGTTACTACCGGATTAACCATTCTGTTGGCTTTCGTCGTGCAGTAGTTTTTCTTTCTCTCTTGTTCCCCTGTTCTCTTTTCTTCAGATATGCTCGGATATATTAAAGACATTTTTATCTTTTTCGAAATACAAAATTACAGATAATACGTACGATGAATCATCCAGTATTTTTGGTGGCCTTGAACATTTAAAGTACTGATTGTAAGTGATCTGAAATCATGCTAGAAAAAAAAAAACCGAAAATAAAATTACTTGATCATTTGAGATCACTAATTATTAATTTTAATTTTTCGTATATTTCTGTTTAATTCTATAAATATTATTTTTTAGAAATATATCGATTTCAAATGATACTACCACTATTCCAAGAAAATTATTAAACTTTTATTAATATAATTTTCATGATATAAGAAATGGTCTTGAATGGTTAATTAATTTTGATTGCAATAAAAATTTTAATTCACATTTATGTTATTATATATAAAGTTTGTAGATCTGTGTTGTTCGAACAAAGATGAAGAATCCTGCCAATCAAAGAGTAATTCGATCAAGATCGAATAACATAATTTGAAATAAAATAGTAAAGTAATCAATTTCTCGAGAATCAATCAATATAATCAGAAGCATCTTTGTTCAATGTCATTTTCACAATCGCAATTGCTGTGTTCAAGATTTTCATCGAAATGGACCGAGAGCAAAATTGATCTCCTGCAGTTCATCGCTACTATTACGAACAAGTATTTCTACATGGTCTTTATTGCGGACAGTAATGTGTCTATTTTTCTTTCCAATCTCAACAATGGCTTAATATTCTTACTTTCATATATTGTACAATAACAATATTATTGATGATAAAAAAGAAGGAAAAAAAATATTTTCTTAGATTTTTCAAAAACAAATAAAACTTTACAAAAAACTTTAGTAATGTTTCTTATACAGAGAAAAAAGAAAATATTAGTTAGAAAAGTCATACTTCGGAATGAAAATATTTTTAAATTGTAAATATATTATATATCGATAATTTCATAAATATTCATTTTTTGTTCAGGTCAGTTTAATCAGGTCACTTAATTGAATTGCTGAACGTTAAGTCATATCGGGTAATATATTTTTATACAGACTAAACTTTGGCCGTAATTCCATGGCATTCATATTTAATTAACCTCAAATTAATATCATCAATGAAGAGTATTAAATCTGTCAATCAAGTTAAGACGTTTCCAGTCCGATTGCATGAGTTTAAAGAAAAATTAAAAGAAATTCACATTGTGTTTCTAGGATACATATATGAGATTGAAAGGAAGATAAAATATTTATTAAGAACATGATGAAAATCATTATCGATGAAAATTCTGCTCATTGTCAAAATGGCTTAGAAAAAAAAAAAACGAAATGTTAACGAGCATAAATTTCATGAAATCAAAGTTCGACAAGATAGAAACGACAACTCGGGAACAAATAGAAGGCAACGATAATGAATGACATTGATTTTATTACCTGGAGAAATTGATCCTCTGTAACGCGATACCGGCAACATTCCATTCCTTGACTTTTCATTTGTCTCAAAGCCATTGTGATTTTTAATACGGCACGCGTTACTTATAAATTCCTATTGAAATAATGGAGAATAGTTTCTGATTTTTGAAATAAACATATTGATAGTCTATATTGCTTGAAGTAATTAGAATATGCGTATAAACTTATTGTTAAGAAGAGAGATTTTAATTATTTTAATCCTTTAATTACTTCAGCCAATATGAGAATACAAGTTTTCATATTATTTTATCATGTGTCATGTATTAGTTTTTTTTTTAGATGACACATATGGATCACAGAGGATTCATTTCTGGCGAAATAGTCATTTGTTATCACTCTATTAACTTGAGATAATAATTATTACTAATTATATATATATATATATATATATATATATATATATATGTTATTAACTATGACATATTGTTTATTGTACGTAAACTAAAATTAACGTACGTAATAA